AATATGAAGCCGGGCACAGTGACTCACACCTGTATTCCTAGCACTTTCAGAGGCAAAGGCGAAAGGATTGCATGAGCCCAGGGATTTGAGACCATCATGAGCATCTTGGTGAGACCTTGTCTCTATTATAAACACAAAATTAGCTGGGCATGGTAGTTCCAGTGACTTGGAAAGCTGAGGCGGAAGGATTGCCTGAGCCCAGCAGGTCAAGACTGAAGTGTCACTACACTTCAGCCTGGACAACAGAGAGACTCCAGCTAAAAAAACAAAAACAAAAGTTTTAATATGATGTGTTAATATTCTTCACACACCCAAAGATTTCAGGTTAATGTTCACGAACTTTTTTCAGTGGCCCTATAGTGTGACTACATTGCATAAGCAAGAACAAAAATTACTTTTATCATTTTGCTACTTCACAAATTGCAAAATTATCCTTGGATTACCCAGGAATTTTCTTTTTGACAAAAATACATGAATGTGTATGTGCTCAAAGGTATGTGTGTGCTCTTGTAATTGTGAATTGGTTCCTTTAGGGCTCATTCTCTCTAGTTCTCTCCATTTGCATGGTATTTTTGGTGAGAAACTTCTAGTCACCTCTTATGCCAGATAAGGTATACATGCAAAGTAACAAAGCATTTGTGTGCTCCTCACTGCCAAGGATGGGTGGACCATGAATTGACAATTGTTAAATTAGTTATTATTCATTGAAATATTTTTGGTGATTTCCCTTTACTGTCTGGGAAAGCCCAGTTAAAAAAATAGGAATACAGCCGGGCTTGGTGGCTCAGCCTGTAATCCCGCGCCTTTGGGAGGCTGAGGTGAGTGGATTGCCTGAGCCCGCGGGTTCGAGACCCGCCTGGGCAGCGAGACCACATCTCTACAATAAAAATAAAAAAATCAGCCGGGCATGGTAGTGCATGCCTGTAATTCCGGCTACTTGGAAGGCTGAGGCGGAAGGATCGCCGGAGCCCAGCAGGTCGAGGCTGCGGTGGCCGGGAGCGGCCACTGCACTCCAGTCTGGGCGACAGAGTGAGACTCCAACTCAAAAAAAAAAAAAAAAATAGGAATACACCAGCAGAAAATAAAGTTATTTAATTCACTCTTTTGATCTAAACATCACAATAGTCAGAGCTACATCAATATAGGAAGTGGATATAATCCTGTTCCCCAAATATTCCACTTTTTATTTTTCTCAACTCATGACAATTTCCTTGTACTGTCATTGAGTATGTTTGCTTTAGAAATAAGTAATTAAATACCTAAATAAATAGGCTCAATGTTAACAGTGAATACTACTGCTGTAATTCAGGAAGATGTTAACATATATAAAATCTTATAAATATGGCTGGGCTTGGTGACTCAGTCTGTAATCCCTGCACTTTGGGGGGCTGAGGCAAGTGGATTGCCTGAGCCTATGGGTTCCAGACCAGCCCAGGCAACTTGGCAACACCTCTTCTCTACAAAAAAAAAAAAATTAGCCAGGCGTGGTAGTGCGTACCTGTAGTTTGGGCTACTTGGAAGGCTGAGGTGGGAGGATCACCAGAGCCCAGCCGGTCGACACTGGGGTAGCTGTGAGTGTGCTGCTGCACTCCAGCCTGGGCAACAGAGTGAGACTCCTACTCAAAAAAATTAAAAATCAAAAATATTATATATATATAAATAATCTTATATCCATTTAAGCTTCATTAATTTGGAACTCATAGTTTGATCCTACCTCTTTTGTAATGCAACAATGTTCCAAGAAGTGGGAATATAAGAAAACAATCTCAATATTGTTACATAGATTTTGAAACTCCCAGAATCCCTTTAGTTTCTTCAAGTCTTCTGTGCTGATTATAATGGATAACAGGGTTTGTTTTTGTTTTTGTTTTTGAGTTGGAGTCTCACTCTGTCGCCCAGACTGGAGTGCAGTGGCCGCTCCTGGCCACCACAGCCTCTACCTACTGGGCTCCGGCAATCCTTCCACTTCAGCCTTCCGAATAGCTGGAACTACAGGCGCACACTACCATGCTCGGCTAATTTTTTGATTTATTGTAGAGATGAGGTCTTGCCAAGTTGCCCAGGCGAGTCTTGAACCCACGGGCTCAGGCAATCCACTCACCTCAGGCTCCCAAAGCGTGGGATTACAGGCTGAGCCACCGAGCCCGGCTGCATAACAGTTTTGACTTTAACTTCTACCAAAAATGAATATAGAATAGAACTGGACAACATATACATAGCTGATATTGTCAGGCCTTGGACAACATGCAGCAAGAGCTGTTACCTTGTAGGGAAGAACAGTATAATTGGCGAGATTGTATATTCCCAGATTATTGCCTGAACACTTTCCCATGGATGTGAAGCCAGTGGGTTTGAGGGTGGGGACAATAGAGTTCTGAGCCCAGACGTGAGGAGGTGACAGAGAAATCTGTAGTTAGATATTCTTAGGAGATTCTCAAAACAAATGGTAGTCAAAAGCCTCTGACTGGGCTCCCTCTGTTCCCCTCATCACAGATATGGAAACTTTTTGCATCAGAGGTCAGGTGCAGAGCAGTACTGATCCTGTTTATTTGGGTAATCTCTGCTCTAACCACAGAATGGAAGCCATCCAGGACAATGAAATCCTCATTGCTTTCTCCTAGACTCAACAGTAAACATCAAGCCTAATCCAATCCCTACCCACATAGCATGATAATCTTAGATTGCATGGCATAGGATGGCAAGTAATTCTCCAAACTTTATGCTGGAACTACTGGTCCAGTTTTCAGTTAAGATTACACCTGACAATTGGTAGAGGGGAACACACTACTACGGTTCTTCCAAATAGTATACTGTTGACTTGGAGTAGGGACCTTGCAGGGACCAAGTGGAAGACAATAGGCTGATCTAATTCCTGTCTCTTCAATTTTCCAGCCAAGAAGATGGAATAAAATGAAATGTAAAGCAGTCTAAAAGACAGCTTTATGTCAACTAAATGTGGAGATGAGGAGATTTCAAATGGGAAGTGAAAAAACAACTTTTCCTTATTCAAGCTATATTAAGTAAGAAAAGAAAATGGTAGTCTGTATACAAAGTATGTCTTTATTGTCTTTAACATGAACAACTTGTCTTTAACATGAACAATTTGTATAAGAACATATGCAAACACAGGACATACACAGAAAATAACACATATGCAGAGGCAATTTTTTGTAGGCTAATACTCTACTACTCTACTGCAAATGTCAATCATTGTCCAATATTTATATATATAATTCTTTTTTAGAGATGGGGATTTCACTATGCTGCCCAGGCCAGCCTTGAGCTCCTGGGCTCCCGGGATTCTCTCTTTGCAGCCTCCTGAAAATAATGCGTGGGACTGCAGGCACAATTTTTCCTTCCAAGCTGATGTTGCTCAGTGCTTTCAAGAATGAAGAATATAGCCGGTCGTGGTAGTACGCGTCTGTAGTTCCAGCTACTTGGAAGGCTGAGACAGAAGCATCGCTGGAGCCCAGCAGGTCGAGGCTGCGGTGGCCAGGAGCGGCTACTGCACTCCAGTCTGGGTGACAGAGTGAGACTCCGACTCAAAAAAAAAAAAAAGAATGAAGAATAATCTCATTTGGAGACAAAACCATCAAGGTCATGATTTTAATCACATTCTGATCTTAATTCCATGTATTTTTAGACATCATTGCCAAACTTCTCTGAGGTCACTTTCACTACCCACTTAGGTTTCACCATAGCTATTTATGCCACCATCATTGAATTTTAATTTCTTTTTTGAGGGGGTTAGCGACAAGGTCTCGCTGTGTCATGCATTCTCTTCTCTAACTGCTGGCCTCAAGCTGTCCTCCTGCCTCAGCCTCCCCCAAAGTGCAAGAATTATAGGCATGAGCCACCAACTGGGCCCTGATGTAGTATTAATTTCTCAGGCAGAACACTCCCTGTTATTACAAGAGAAATCAGTGGTAACTACTTTGTAACGATGGCTTGAATGCAAGAATTTACCATACTCCATGTGGAGAGAATTACCTTTGAATACTGAAGACATTGCCAATACCCAAGCTAGCTTATGTTTCATTATTCTTTTTATGAGACTAATTTTAGATTCCTATAAGAAAATCAATGCAAGTTTGAGATTATAAAGTCAGGAATACTAAGTGAATAAAAAGTCTTACTCAGTTGGACACAATAATTGATAATATAGGCAGGAATGTTGTATCCTGTGGTAACTGTAGGTAGAAATTCTCTTTTCACTTCTGCTATAGCAGGACATAAGATCCTTTATCTTTCTTGTTATGGACCTATCTAGAGGCCAGTTCCCTCTAGTCCCAGACAGAGAAAACAAATTCTAATCCTTCAGTCCATTCATTTGAATTATAATACAGTAGTGCATTGTTATAATACATTAGTGTTTATTAGCATCTTCTTCTAGTGGAAAAACTGTATATCTGACCGACTGTTTGAAATGATATGTGAATTTGGATGTGTGGCCTATGGACTCATCAAGGTAATATTTTTAGTGTGTGGGAGGTTGAGTTTTTCGAAATCTTTTTTTTTTTTTTTTTTTTTGAGTTGGCGTCTCACTCTGTCACCCAGACTGGAGTGCAATGGCGGCTCCCGGCCACTGCAGCCTCGACCTGCTGGGCTCCGGCGATTCTTCCGCCTCAGCCTTCCAAGTAGCTGGAACTACAGGCATGCACCACCATGCCCAGCTAATTTTTTATTTTTATTATAGAAATGAGGTCTCACCAAGTTGCCCAGGCTGGTCTCGAACCCATGTCTCAGGCAGTCCTCTCACCTCAGCCTCCCAAAGTGCTGGGATTATAGGCTGAGCCATCGAGCCCGGCTGTTTTTCGAAATCTTAAATGATATTTTTGCAAATACGTAGTTGAACAGTTACAGACACGAAATCTCAATATGGGATCTAAGAAGGGGCAGTGCCATCCTCTGCCCTAGAAGAAGAACCTGCCCTTAAGCAGAACCCGGTGAGGTGTAGCTTGGCCTTTTCTGTAGAAGCCCTTCAGTGGATCTTCCCCATTATGACCTTGGAACCTGAGGGAACCACATGGCCCAGAACGCTCTGCGTCGAAGGACAGCGAGACGCGACCAGTGAGGGCTCAGAAAAGGATGTTCCCGGGTGCGCACGCAACTTCGGGGCGGGACTTCCGGCGCTCTTCGGCGGCGACCATTGCTTGGGAATAGGTGTGTGGATCGGGTGAGAGGCTGTTCTGCACCGGGTGGGGACCGCGGAGACTGACCCCGGAAGGTGGAGCGGAGTCTCGGTCCCTGGACTGCGGGACTCTGAAGGTCCGTGGAGGCGCCCGGCGGACCCGCGTCAGGTCCGGGGAAGCGACCGCCGTGTCGGGGTCCCGCCCCGTTTCCCTCCTTTTGGCCCCCCTTCTTTCCCTCCCAGTCCTGATGGCGGTCGAGGCGGCGCTGAGGCACCTGGCGCAGGTGATTATTGCGTCTTTCGTGTCCTCAGGTGCCTTCATGCAAGTCCTGCAACCCCGAGTGGAGGTACCTTGTCATGTGTGTTCATCCTGGACCCCGGTGTGAGGACAGTGAGGCCTGTGGGTGGAGGTCCCGGTTTCCGAAGTCTCGTGCGCTGCGGTGTGGGAACGAGACAGACAGAGGAACTGGCAGGTGCAAAGGCTTGGAGGTGGGATGAGCCGGGAGGGCTTGGAACCGGGGATCGACAGGTGCCGGTGGGGAACAAGGTGTGAGGCGGAGTTACTCCTGGCGTAGCCGGCTGAGGGTTGTAGGGTTGTTGGGAGTCCTCCAGAAGCCATGGAGAGTTTTGGACAAAGGAGGGGTGTGATGAAAGTCCAGGTTTTAGAGATCTCCCGAAGGCCAAAGGAAGAACAGAGTAGAGAGTGATGATGAGGACCTTAGGGCCCGGGGATGTTGAATCTTTATGTAGATCAGGTAGGTGGTAGAAGTGACATTTTGCATTGAGGCACTCAGGTCAGACAACCAGCCCGAAGTCACCAGGATCCAGGAGCAAGAAAATGTACAGGGAGGCATAATCTGTTCAGATCTCATCAGGAACTCATTCTTTTAACTTCTTCCTGTTCGGGAACTCATGGCTGCACAAGCATTTAAGGAGCTCTCATGGGGAAGTGAAGGGTTGTCCATTCCCTCACTGACCCAGATCCTTCCTACAGGTTCTGTAGATTGTAGTGTTCTGGAATTGTACTATTTTTTCATTCCTTTGACCTGGGAATCCTGGTAAAACACTAAAGCTGGGTTTTACATCCATGACACATTATGTGGAGCTATTTCTATTTTAGTCAACTGATGTAAATACACTTGGAAGGTTAACTAGGGAGTTAGTATCAGTGAAATGCTGGCTCGAGGTTTTTTTTGGTCACTCATGATCAAAGAATTGGCCCCCCACCAGTGAAGTGAGGGAAAGCAAAGCTTTATATCAAGCAAGGAAGCAAGCAAGTACACTCCTAAGGGTCAAGAGGAGCGGGCTGCTGGAGTCAGCCCTGTTCATTATTCTGGGTTGGTCTTTTATTGTTACTTTTTGTAAAGTCAGAGGTTCCAGAGTTTCTTTTGTTCTAACAGTTTCAGGTCTTGGTTGGTTAGTTACCTCTCAGGCTTGGTTGCACCCTTTGTATTTGGTTTTGCAGCCTGTTGAAATTGGGTATCTAAAAGTCAGGTGGCTTCCTGCACCTTACTCTCCCCTTTGCCCCCTGCTCATGTGTGTTTTAACTACTTGACGTTTTCCTCCCTGAAGTGATTTTGGCTAAAATCTTTGGGAGCTGAAGGGTGAAGGTCTATTTTTTTGTAGCTGCTTCCTCCTAAGAAGTGCTGTAGACCTGAATTGGCCTAGATCACTTGCTGTCTGTCAGTTGGATGTTTGGGAAGAAAAGTTTCAAAAGTGCTGTCTGGCTTCGTCTAAAGGACTATCCAACTCAAAAAAAAGTACTGTGTAGGACCCCATCCATTTGTGAAGTAACTGATTTTGAGGAGTTTTTTTCTTTTAAGTCTTGAGAAGGAGTTGGTGTTCTGGTTGTATCTTTGGGAGGAGATAAAGATCATAAGGGTAGGACAGTTACTAGTGTGTTGTTTAGAGCTGCTTGCCTGGCAGCAGCATCAGTCAGATGGTTACTTTTGCTGACCTTTGTGGTTTCTTTGATGTTCCTTACAGTGTATGACAGCAACTGTTTGGCTCTGTTGCACAGTTTCTATGAGATGTAGGATTTCTGTTTGGTGTTTAATAGGAGAGTTTTTGCTATGAGGCGTTCCCTTTCCTTTTAAATGACTGCATGGGCCCGCAAGCATTACCACAAAGTTTTTCTTCTCTTCTGACAAGATCAGAATGGCACCCAGTGCTTTGAGAAAGTTATTTCCCACAAACGAATTGGACATTTTTGGTATTATTATTATTATTATTATTATTATTTGAGTTGGAGTCTCACTCTGTCACCCAGACTTGAGTGCAGTGGCCACTCCCGGCCACC